TCCAACCTGAGGGGCCCATTTCAGCAGCAGTGTTTTGCTGCCATATGAAGATTATTACTGGCTTACTTCTTCACAGTAAACCAACAGGTCGGCCTGCCTCAGATTGTGTAGTCTTGACCCGCTGGTTAAGCCCGTCCACTATGGGTGACACTTCTGGCATTTGAAATACTGGTGTCATAGATTCTATCATCACAGCAGCATGAAAGCCCTGGTGAGACAACAGACTGACAGATGACCTGACTCAAATTCACAGGGACCTAATATATTCTTGTTGCTGTTGAGTGCCATCGAGTCAGTTTTCTGACTTATTTCAACCCCTTGTGCTAGAATAGAACTACTTTAGTGTAGGGTATTTTGTTGCCAGTGATCTTTATGGAATAGATTATCAGGGCTACCTTCCATAAGCTGCTGGTTAGGTTTGAATCACCAACCTTCCAGTCAACATCCAAGCACTTCACTTTGTACTGCTGGTGCTCTTTGACTTACTGTCTGTTGTTCTTGTGGTTGCCATCAAGCACCTAGTCAGAGCTGACTCATAGCCCACCCTCCAGTGGATTTTCAAAGGCCTTAAATCATACAGGAGGCAATTGCCCATCTTGCTCCCACGGAACACATGGTAGATTCAAATTACTATCTGAAAGACCTGAAGTTGCTGCCTCATATTCCTTTTATATCATTAAAAGCTCTTTAGCAAAATAGAACTTATTTGGCCTATATTTATTCATTACCAAACAGATACATCTCTCAGGTCCTATGTTTTATGTTCCCTCTCTCCCCGACTTTTTAACTTCAGATAACTTGAGCTGACTTTAGATAACTTTTAATTGAATAGGGAAGAGTGAATTTCTCTTGTCTCTAAATGACTTCTCTTGATTTTAAATTCAAGTACCAGTCATTAAACTGTATTCAGAGATTTTCAAAAAGTTCTTAATTTTATTACTTGTTCTGCCACATTCTTCAAGAGCAAAGTGCACACACACACACACACACACACACACAGAGATACTGAGAGAGCACCACTTTCCACTCTGTTTTGCTTTTGAAAAAAAATAGGAAAGCATGGAGAGGATAACAAACAGCTAAAGTCATTACAATCTAGGAAATAGAACTGAGAAGAAATTTTAAAGTTTCAGTGCCAACTTAAATGGAGTCTTTCTAAGCAGTGACACTGAGAACAATCTAAGAGGACCAGTGACACCCAGCCACCATTTGGTTTCTTTTGTCCCCTGCCTCCCAGCTGATTTGTCACCTTCCTCCCCCCTAGTGGTCATTGCAGCTGGGATTGTGTAACTCTGTTCCTTCTACACTTCTGCAGTCAGCCACCTACACACGGATTTAACCCTCACCTCACCCTCCATTGTTGAGTTAGGGGACTCTCTTTGGATTTGAGTAACTACTTCTGTGACATCCCTGGGACAATTAATGAATGTATTCATCTGCTAACCAGACGATGGAAGGTGAGAGTTTACCCAGAAGTACCTCAGAAGAAAGACTTAATAATCTGTGTGGGAAAAGGTCTGTCATCGTAAACCCAATAGAGCGTAGTTCTACACATGAGGTCCTGGAGGTGGAAAACTGTTGTGTAAACACTTCTTCAATCCTTGCGTGGATATAGCCCAAACAAATGGCCTCATGCCTGGGGATTCTGAGCTGCTATTTAGTCTCTGGCACTATTGACCTATATGATCATCTTATAGATTAAGGATATGTTTACCATTTTAACTTTCACATCAGAGGGTTTCAGGGATACATGCAGACTGAGGTACTCTTCGCCTTGAAGTCAAAAGATTGTTTTCTTCAGTGTGACTGTTAGATGAGTGAAAAAGATCATTCTGCTCCCTGACTCCACGGAGGACAGGCTCATTGCTCTGGCCTTCAACCGTGTCCCTAGCCTGTCTGTTTTATTAATATACACCTTCTCTGTGTCCAAAGGTAGCACCTCACTGGTGGTTCAGATTCACCAGCAGCTTCAAGAGAGAATAGTGGACAATCAGTTTACAGCCATGCTTCTGGTGCTGAGAGTGTTGACTGTGGAGTCAAGCAAACAAAAGCTGTGAAAAATCTCAATCTCTTTACCATCCACCCTGACACTGCCAATTGGCTCAGTGGTGAGAATCTTTGTCTTCTTGACGTTGAGCCTCAATCCATATTGGAGGCTGCAGTCCTTGAGCCTCTGCAGCAAGCACTTTAGGTCCTCCTCAGTTTCATCAAGCAGGGTTGTGTCATCTGCATAACACAGATTGTTGATAGATCTTCCACCAGTCTTGACCCCACATTTCTCCTCATAGAGCCCAGCCTCCCGGATAATCTGTTCTGCATATAGGTTGAAAAGGTATGGAGATAGGATGCATCCCTGGCAGTGTCAGGGTGGATGGTAAAGAGATTGAGATTTTTCACAGCTTTTGTTTGCTTGACTCCACAGTCAACACTCTCGGCACCAGAAGCCAGGAAATTAAAAGGTGTATTGCAATGGGAAAGTCTGATGTTGGGGACCTCTCCAAAGTACTGAAGAGCAATGGAGTCTCTCTGGAGACTAAGGTGCATCTGATACAGACCATGGTCTTTGCAATCACTTGTTATGCATCAGAGAGCTGGACAGTGACCAAGGAGGATAGAAGGAGAATTGATGCCTTTGAGCTGTGGTGCTGGAGAAGAGTATTGAGGGTACCATGGACTGCAAGGAAAACAGATTCATCCTGGAAAGGGTCAAACCAGGCGGCTCCTTGGAGGCAAGGATTCTGAGGCTCCATCTGACATACTTTGGACATGTTGTAAGGAGGGACCATCCTTGGAGAGGGATATCATGGTAGGGTGGAGAGACAGTGCAGGAGGGGAAGGCCCTCTATGAGGTGGATTGATTTAGTGACTGGGGCAATTGGGATGGGTATATCTGAGATGGTGCGATTGGCACAGGACAGAGCAGAGTTTAGGGCTGTTGTACATAGGGTGGCTATGAGTCGCAAGCAACTTGACGGCAAATAACAACAACAACAACACGGCTGCTGCTAGTTCACAAACTCAGCTGTCATGAGACAAGATAGATGATGGCATGGGACATTGCGTATTGTGCTGCTAACCCAAAGATCAGCCATTCTTATCCACCAGCTACACCACTGGCGAAAGAAAGGCAGGCTTCTCCTGTGAAAGTATCTGGCCTTGGAATCTGGTGAAGGGTCACTGTGAGTCAGAGGCGACTCAGTGGCATTGGGTTATTTTGTTCTGTTTATGAGGAAGAAAGAAAATGGTAGTCCAGTAATGGAAAGCCTGCCTTCCATGTGGGAAACTCAAGTTTGAGTCCCAGCTACTGTGTCACCTGGGAAGTCACCAACCCATCTCCTGGTGTGAGGACAAGTAGATGGCATACAAAGAAGGGGCCAAGTTCAAGGGTAATTGGCAATGGGAAGACTGGAGAGAGAGTAAGTAGCAAGTTTATAGGTGGACCAGGCTTTGACTAAATAGTCCTTTACCCTTGCTGAAAATAAGCAGCCCTTCTGAGATAACCCTACACTCCCTCGCTGAAGTATAGGGCTTTTTGTAAGAGGAGCCGAGAATGCTGGTAAAGAAGGAGAAGATTAGGAATACCTAAGATTATAGGAAAGTAGAGTTTTGTTGTAAAAGTCTGTTTGTGCCCTGTTGTAATAGCCATTTGTGTCCCACTGGTGCACATCACCTGCGCTCCCTTGCCTTTGATATATGTGCAAACATCAGTGACAGTGGCCCTCAAGGACGATGGGGCAGAATTCTTTCTACTTAAAGTGGGAGTAATATAAAAGATTTCCGTGTCACCGTGGCAGAGTGCTTGTTTGCTAACTGAAAGGTCTATCTGAAAGCTACTGGCTGCTTCATGAGAGGAGAATGTGGCTATTTGCTTCAATAAGGATTACAGAAACCCTATGGGGCAACTCTAGTCTGCCCTATGGGATCACTGTGAATCTGAATTGACGCTATAGCTATGAGGTTTTTTATTTGAGAGTAACATGAAAAAGTGACTTTGGTCCATAAGCAGCTGCCGGTACTCAGCTTCCCACACAGCCATTTCTTAGATAAAGCCCTTCTCTGGATATAACAAGGGTATATATGCCTTTCTTGCTGAGTGTGTAAAATTATCTTTAAAAGCTAAAGATGCCTTTAATATGCACAAATAGCCTGAAACAACCAGTGTTCCAAATCAAACATAATGTGATGTACGTGCATTTCTTTTCTTTTGAACAGTAAGTACGGCCGTCTAAGGAATGATGCTGCCCAAGCATCATAAGCCAGGGAGAAATACTGGCCAAGAGCCAGGAGACCTGCCCACTTTTCCACCTCTCTCTGTACTGTCACATATTTGCATTGAGACTGAGTTGAGTTAGAACCAATTAAAGTATTCCTGAAATTTTTTGGTGCCTAATTACTTCTAAGACTTCTGATATTCCCTGTTCAGAATCTCATTTGAGAAATGACTTTTCTTCTAATACATCGGTGGCCTAAGAAATGTCCTCCCAATGTGAAAAGATGCAAATAATCTTCTCCCTTTAAGCTTCCAGAAACAATGCCAGTCACTCAAATGCGTTCTCAGGGAAGGCATGTACAGCAGCACTGCGACTTATTAAGAAACTGAGAATACATCATTCACCAATAATCGTTAGTACAACATCATTTAGCTGAGGGCAACTTGCAAACACTGCACAGTCTAAATTAATACCAATACGATGAGGAAATGAAACCATTTATTATTCTTAAGAACCGATTTTATACGTTTTATGCCTTTGGAACTGCTTTCTAATCTTATTACTTAAAAAATAATGACCAGGGCCAACTTCTTTTTTGCCAGCCATCAAGCTTCCTAAAATATGGTCACATTCTGGTCTCAGAAAGAAGCACCAGGATTATGTGCTCCGTCTGTTTGTCCTCGTAGGAAGTTTTCTGAAGTGCTACCTCAGCTAGAGTAAATAACGTGATGTGCACTTAATAGACATGCTTGCTTACTCACTTGTTTTCGTTTTCCTTAAACTTTGCAGCTTAAAGGTACCAAGGAATTGGTCGAGACCAATGGCCACAGCCATGAGGACACAAATGTAGGTACCACAAACTGGGTGTTTGCTTCTCTTATTTGATGTTGGGTTGGATGCGTGTGAGGGGTGACAGTTGAATTACAATATGAAGAAACGCAGGGGCCCTGTCTCTCAGGGACTGTGAAGGTTACTATGCGTGCCTCAGCAATAAAATATGACATATGGCGCTGCTCATGTTGGCTTAGTTCCCTCTCTGGGTGGCTCAAATCCTTTGCAAATGTCTACAACTGAAAGAGTACTCCATGGCTTAGCAGTAGGGTGTTTTGCTGCCAAACCAAAGGCACATGGTTCAAATCCACCAGACAGGCAGTCTCCTCCCAGGCGATTGAAAGCCCTCGAGAGACTCAGCTGTGTAGTTGGTTCCAACTCAGGGGTGATGAGAGGGTTTGAGAGAGGTGTCAGTGAGAGACAACTGAAAGATTTGTGGTTTGACACCACCTTGCCACATCATGGAAACAAGTCCTGGGAACCTGCTTTCCTATGGAGCAGAGTTATGCTTTGACACATGTGAGGTCACCAGGCATCAAAGTGGACCCAGTGGGTACAAAGCACTGTTCTTTTAAGGTTTAAATTACCAGATGTCAACCTAGAAGTACTTGACCAACTCCTATAATAAAAAAATTAACCTCATTAAAGTGGTTCGATATTTCCAAGACTGAAAATGAATGAGGTCCAGGACAAGCCTGTATTGAAAGTATTGTGCAGTGAACCTGTGAAGCCAGAACTCGAGTGCCTGCCTTGTTTTTCTAGGTCTCCCAAGTTCGCACCTTTGGCAGGGTGAAGTCTCATTATTCTCTGGCAGGTTCTGCCTTTTACAAGTTTTACAGAAGAGAGAGAGAGATGTTTTCCTGCCAATGAGATGGTAATGAAATACTTGACACACTGGAAAAGAGCAATTTCTTTCCCATAGAATAGCCAGGGCTGGACTGTTCTAACCCAAATAAAAGAACCTGATAGAGTACAATGGTCATTGCTGTTTGCTGCCTTGGAGTTGGCCTCTGGCTCGTGATGACCTTGTGCACAGTGGAACTACATGTTGTCCAGTCCTGCGCTATCCCCAGGTCAGAGGTTTATCAGACCATGTGATCAACTGATCTTTCATTGGCTGATTTTCAGAAGTAGCCCCTGATCTGGAAGCTCTGTTGAAGCCTGCTTTGCAGTGAGTAAGTCTCCATTGACACGTGGCTATGTGTGAGATAAATTGGTTGGGAATTGAGTCCAAGCTTCCCATGTGGAAGGCAAGAACCAAGAACCCAAACCGCCCGTGTCTCCATGAGAATAATTGGAAATTCAGTGCCCATATGAGGATAATGATTCAGAACCTCAGTGAGGACCTTGACTCCTCTTTATGTTTCTTGAATACCCACTTGTCAAAACTCAGTGAAGTACACTCTTTACCTAGGAGATTCTTTAGCCTCTGATGGAGTATTATATCATGAAGATCATTGTTTCTCCTGATATTTGATTGTTTTGTCTGGGGTTCTCTTTCTTTCTGATATCTGTATGTATTTGACAGCATCAGGTGTGGTAATGAATGCCTGATTAATTGAGAGCTGTGATAAATACACATTTCATGTGCACTCTTTTAATTATATACAGCAGAGGCCAACTTTAGAGCATGAGAAAACCTTCTTAATAACCACTGTTCTGTTTTTATTATTTTGGTTTTGTTTTAATAACCACTATTCTTATTAAGAAAGCCCTTTACATATGCTGTTTACTGAGCACCTGCTATGTGCATTGCACTGGGAAAGTCTGCAGTTAGGGACCTCTCCAAACTACTGAGGAGTAATGATGTCAGTTTGAGCACTAAGGTGTGTCTGATTCAGGCCATGGTCTTTCTGATCACTTGCTATACATCCAAGAGCTAAACAGTGAATAGGGATGACTGAAGTATTGATGCCTTTGAGGTGCCGTGTTGGAAAAGAATACTGAACATCCCATGGACTATCAAAAGAACAAACAAATACAGCTTGGAGAGGATGCATCCAGAATACTCTTGGGAACAGACATGATGAGATTTCACCTCACATACTCCAGGCATGTTGCGAGGAATGACTGTTCCTCGAAGAGGGTCATGATGCTTGAAAGGGTGGAGGGTTGGCAAAGGAGAGGAGGACCCTCAACCTGGTGGGTTGATATGATGACTCCTGCAATGGGCTCTTGTGTGTCGGGAAGTGTGAAGATAGGATAGGATAGGGTTCAGATCCGTTGTTCATAGGGTCGCTATGAGTTGTACTTGACTCAACAGCACCTAACAACAACTACAGCTGTGTGTGTAATACCCTGCTGGATGCTGTATATGTATGTGCATGTGGGGACGTGATGAAGGAATATGAAGAGCTTCTGATCAAGGTAAGGGCCAAAAAGACATATAGATGCTGTGTAGGTAAGTGTAGAGGAAACTGAGAAAGCTGGGATGGTAATATAGCTTGAACTCTGAACTTTGCCACTTATTACCTGTGTCTTAACCTCTCTGAGCTTCACTTTATTCACTTGTAAAAAGACCACAAAGCATATCGCAAAGGTACAACATGTTACGGGAGTGAAAATCTTTCCTGTTATTCCTGAATTGTTTCCCACTCCTGTAGCTCATGTGATTCCTAGGAGAGCTGCCTCTTAGAGCTTTCTTGGGCATAATCTTTACAAAAGCAGACCCCCCAGGCCTTTCTTCCATAGCACTGCTGAGTGGTCCAAGCCTTTAGGTTAATAGTTGAGCAGAAGCCATTTGTGAGAGAACTAGGAGTCTGTGAAAACACCAGGATGTTATTAGTATGACTTTGTCCTAGATATTCAAGAAAAGTGCCCTAGATCTATGGGATTTGGGTTGTTTTTGAAAAATTACAACATTTAAAAAGGCTGGAGCCATTCATAGAGACACTATTGTAATATAAGTTGTTATTGCTGTGTACCGCTGAGTCAGAACTGACCCATAGCTGACCCTCCAGTGGGCTTTCAGAGACAGTTAATCACACAGGAAGAGGTTGCCCATTCATTTTTTGTGAAGCATCTGGTGGATTTGAACCGTGTGGATTCAGGACAGTAGCACTAGTTCTTACCACTACACCACCAGAACTTCCTTGTCTTTCCTCCATTTTGTTACCCCTGTTCTTACCCTAAAATGTTTTATCTTGGTCCTTTCTTCCCAGAACACATTGATACCATTCACTCAGCAAATCCTTTGAACACTGGCTTTTCCTCTCTACTCAGCATCAGCAACACCCCTCTCCACCCTCCACTCAACTCCCCATGCTTGTGACCTCGTCTGCCTTGGTCTAAAGCTCTGCTGAGATCTCTCCAGCACGGGCGACCTTGCTAGTATTTGAAATACTGATGGCATAGCATCTCATGTTTCACATGGTGTTTAAATGACAGACATGTGGTACTTACAGAAAGGTACATTTTCTTAATTAGAAAAAGTGAAGGGAGATAATCTCTGAGGTCTTTTGTGTCTACTCAATAAACATGGTTAGCTCTCTCTAGAGTCTGTGATGTGATGTTTGAAAACAACACAGAGAACTGAGGAGTAGAGATGAGGTTCAGACCAAGTAAAAGAGATAAGTGCCCCTGCCTCACTGAAATGAGGAGAGCTCTGAGATAAGAGATCTGGAAGGCCCTGCCCGTGGAGACTGCCACCCTTGCTGGCCACAGAGCTAGGCTCCTTATTACAATCTCTGCCCAATTTTTCAGTCTCCTGGTAGGTCTTCTGATAGGACACTCTCTTGTGCTTCTCTTTCATGTCTGTAATTTCATGTCTTCCTGACAGTTGTTCTAGTTTTTCTGCTAGCCTCATGTAGTAGAAAAGAAACACCATCAGTTGTATGAACCACACGTCAGAGTGCTGGCTAAAACATCTTGTGATGCTATTTCTAACTGCTAGAATGAACTCTTTGTCTCATCTGAAATTTCTCCACAACACAGTCATGGTCGAGGGAGATGGTGCTTTGAAACAGACAGAGAGGGTGGGATTCCTCTTTGACCTTGAACTCACTGGGGGAGGGGCAGGGCAAGTCATTGCACCTTTCTGAACATCTCATCTGAAAGTCTGGTAAGGGAAACCAGGCACCTGCGCACCTGGCCCAGAGTACAATGCGACACACGTTCATTCCCTGTGCCTGCGTCTGTAGTTTGATACAGCAGGCAGTGCAGGGCAGGATGACTATTCGTGCGGATCACATGGTTTGAAGCCTCTGGCCCAGAGGTTATGGGCTGAGCTGTATGGATTTAGTCTCAATGTAATTATTCCCACGCAGGTGTAGGGGTTTTATATACTATCATTTAATAATAACGATCATACAGAGGCTTGCTGCTGGCTTAGCCGGGTATTCTTGTGAGGGTTGGCAATTGCTTTTTAAAAACAATATATCTGATTATAGAGTAAAAAAGGAAAGCTGCGTGAAGTATGAAAACTACAGAGAATATCTTTACTTACTTGTCATCAAGTCAATTCTAATTCTATGGGATAGAGTAGGACATCCTCCACAGGAGTCCCCTGGCTGTAATCTTTACAAATGATTTCAAAATCAGAGGTGTGTGTGTCAAGGTTGTATATATTGACCTTACTTGTTCAATCTGTATGCTGACTTTAGGAATGCAACAAGCTTGACTTTGTGAAGAGGAACGTAGATTTTGGGACCAATTAGCAACCTGTGAGGTGCAGATGGCACAACCTTGCTTCCTTGAAAACAAAGTTGAAGCATCACTGATGAAGATCACAGACTACGGGCTTCACTATGGCTTATACCTCGACATAAAGAAAGCAAAATCCTCACCATTAGACCAATAAGCAATACTATGATAAATGGATCTGGACAAAAAGACAGGGTAATGATGCACAAAGTCCAGTGGTGATTAATTTTATAAATCATAATGCATGAGAATTATTGTATGAAACACAATGGATACAAACTTTCTAAGCAAACCAATTTTTAAAAAGGAAAAAAATACTATGATAAATGGAAAAACATTGAAATTGTCAAAGATTGAACTTTTACTTGGATGCA